GACTAGAGAGGATAGAAGAGTGAGCCTGAGGCCATGAATTGAGAGCAGGGTGAGGCGTTTGGGCCGAGGTTCCCCGTGGACCAGAGTCTCTAAGCAATCAGAGCAGTGCTTCGACGAAGGGCATGGCTGGGCGTAAGCTTCCTCTCGTCGTCAGACAGCTCTTCTGAATTAAGCTTCTCTCCCTTAGTCCTGCTCTACCTTCATTCAGGACACTAGCTATGACCAGAGTGGACAGCTGGACGGCCTGGAGCTGATGTCCATGTTGACAGCAGCTCTGGCCCCTGGAACCGCTGACTCTCCCACCACCAACCCAGTAAGCCCTGCTTGGGGGTAGGGGTGGGGGTGGGGGTGAGGGTGGGGGTGGGGGGACCCTTTTCCTTCAAAGGAGACCCAGCTCCCTGGGGCTTCGGTCTTTTTCATCTTGACTCTTTTGGCGAATCCCCAGGAATGCTCACAGCCTGCATGTCAGGGACGGGGGAGGGGCGTTGGGAGGGTCAGGGCTCCGGGAAGCATCGCCGGTCACTGTGGACCCCAGGGCAGCTGTGTGCTCCCACAGGTGGTCCTGGTCGTGGACGAGGTGCTGGAGACGCAGGACCTGAATGGGGACGGGCTCATGACCCCAGCAGAGCTCGTCAACTTTCCCGGAGCGGCCCCGAGGCACTCGGAGCACCAAGAGCCCCCGGAGCCACAAGATCTGGGGAGGCAGCCCCCGTTAGCCAAGAGCCCATCAGGACAAGAAGCACAGGAGGCCCTGGGCCCCAGAGGAGAGGAGGGACAGGTGGAGGCCGGAAAGGAGCCCTTGGAGCCTGGACAGGAGGCTGGGGAAAAGGCCCCAGGCGCCGGAGGGGAGGCTGGGGCCCAGGCCGAGGCCAGGGACGCCGGAAAGGAAGCGGAGGAGCAACCAGGGGAAACAGTGGAGCCTAAGAACCCCCCAAGTGAGTTTGAGGTTCATGCTATTCAACTGGAGAACGACGAGATATAAGCCTCGAGGATGCAGGTGTGTGCCGGGCAGTCTCAGCGCCAACATGCGCTCCGAAGGGCGGGGGGTGTGTGGGGACAAGGACCACCTCTGGCCCCTCCTGGTCCCAGTAGGTGCAGCTCATGGAGATCCTATGCCGAGGGGCAGCTTTAGGGCCCGGACAACCAATAAAGAACTGAATAAACTCACCCCCCTGGGCCATCTGTCTACTGGTCCAGCCTGGCCAGACCTCAGGGAGGGCGGTGGGGGTATGAGGACTGGACAGGCCTCTTGGAGGGGCAGGGATTCAGCTTTCCCCATGTTCCCAGCGGGTGCGAGCGCTCAGCCTCTCCCTGTCCCCCTGGGGTCCAAACACTCCTGTGCCCCCTCACCTGGTGTTCAGACACCCAGTGCCCTCCTGCAGCTCAGGGCAGATCTGCCCCATCCCCTGTACCCCCCCCCCCCTTAATAGTAACAGTAACTGCGATTTATCAAGAGCCCGTACACACCAGCATTCCACTGGCCGTTTCATATTGTGTGATTTTATCCACAACAATCCCACGACCACGGAATAAGCTCCGCTCGATAAGGACCTTGAGGAAGATGGCGTTCAGTGATGTACCCACGGTGATCCAGCACTCAGGCCTGCCTGTGGCCTCACACACCCTGCCCCAACTCCCCGTGCCCTCAGCCCTGGTCTCCCCCGGGCACAGCAGCACCCTGTACCCGGGTCACATCTGTGGCTGAGGCACCGCCTTAACCGCAGGGTGGCTCCGTGGGTGGGGCTTTCAGGCTGCAGGGCGGTCACTGGGAAGCTATTCTTGGAGGCAAAGTCCCCACCAAACCACCGAGCGAGTCGGCTCAGCTGAGCCGCTCCTGGGGCCACGGACGGAGCCGGGGCCTGGTGACAGCACAGGGCCCAGAGCAGCTTTTCTCGTGATTTGTGGTTATTGGGAAGGTTCCCTGAGCCAGCGGCAGGCAGCGGGGTGTCCTCCGCAGCCAGGAAGGCTCCCTGTGACGACCGATCCCTGAACCCGGCCTCCAGCACGGGCACAGCTGGCAGCAAGCCTGGAATCGCCTGCTGCTCTGGCCCAGCAGCCCCTCCTCTGGGCCTGGGTGGGGAGGTGAACCGGGAGAATGGGGGGGAGCCCCAGCCAGAGGAGCTGGGAGGGCAAGGACAGACAGACCGCCAGAAGGAACGGGCACTGGGAAGGAGGTTTATTTGCTCTGTGGCTCTGCGGTGTGAGACGCCAGGACCCAGGTGCAGGTGGAGCCCTCCCACGGCCAGCGTCTGCCCAGGAGCAGGGCCGCCCCGATGCCAGGCTGGACAGAGGGGAGAAGGCAGCAGCCAGTGACACTGGCCCCCAAGGGGGTGTGAGCTGCTGCCTGCTGCCTCAGGGCATCACACGATGCCATCATAGCCCTGCAGGCCACACTTCTTGCCGGCCACCTGGCAGCCGAACCGCAGCGCCTCCTGCATGCTCTTTCCTGGAGGGAGGGACAAGTCGCTGGATCAGCCAGGCCCAAGCCGTCGGGGCAGGGCCCGGCCCCGCCTGGTGCCTGCTGCGAGGGACTCACCTTGAGACAGGCTGAAGATGACAGAGGCGTTGAAAGTGTCGCCGGCCCCCAGAGTGTCCACCACGCGGGGCGGCGGGAAGGCATCCGAGTGGAGCAGCCGTCCGTCAGGGCCCAGGGCGTCGGCGCCCTGCTCAGCCCAGGCGCAGACCAGCGTAGCCCTGCCAGACCCTCTGCTTAGCTGGGTGCGAGCCCACCCCGGCCCCAGTCTCAGTCCCTCTCCCCAGGGCAGACCCCGAGTCCAGGCTCCCCCACTTCCCACACCCACCCTCCCTGGCTCCCCCAGCTCACCCTTTCCTCACACGGCTGTACAAGCCCCTCAGGGCCTCCACCGCTGACTGGAACCCCAAGTGTCTGGCCACATCTTTGCTGACAAACACCTGTGCACAGTGGGAGAGGCTGACGATCACCCTAACTCTAGTCCGAGCTCAGGCACTCCCGCCAGCAGCCTAGCATTGCCCCCGTATTAGGACCCCGCTCCTCCCACGTGGCCACCCCAACCCCCAAAATAGCATGTCGCTGCCCCACAGGAACACGTTTTCATGCTCAAGATATGCCAGGATACAGCCTGTGAATGGGGCACACGCCCTGGTCTGTTTGTTCTAAGATCCAGGAATTTCCTCCCAATTGGAAACCCAAAGCGAGCCTGGAGCGCCATCTTGGGGTGGAATCTACCACTGCCAACTGAAACCACCCACTCTCGGGGCAGTTTTGTTTGGGGTTTGCTTTTCTCATACAGCTCTGCCCTCTAGGTCTGGTTTCTCCATCTTAAAAACAAAGGGGTAGGGCCTCGGAAGTTGCCTCACACCAACCACACCAACCACAGAGCTATCACGGACCTCAGAGACCTCACACCAACCACAATTAGAATTGCCGCCCTGGCCGGTGTGGCTCAGTGGATAGAGCATCGGCCCGTGGACTGGAGGGTCCCGGGTTCAATTCCAGTCATGGGCACATGCCTAAGTTGCAGGCTCGGTCCCCTAGTAGGGGGCATGCAGGAGGCAGCCGATCGATGATTCTCTCTCATCATTGATGTTTCTATCTCTCTCTCCCTCTCCCTTCCTCTCTCAAATCAATAAAAATATATTTTTTAAAAATTGCCAGAGACAGTTTTGGTAAAAAAATACTTCAGCCCAAGCCCCACCCCGACCCATCAAATAACCAACAGGGGTGGGGCTCAGGCATCCATCTCTCTTCACCTGCAGCCAAGGCTGACGACTAACCAGCTCCCGCAGTGATGCTAAGATTGTCAACCCCATCCCATTTACACCCCACCCTGCTCACATCCAGGTGTGCAAGGCCCCTGCCCATCCTCCCTCACCACGAGTGGCTCCCACAGCCTGTCACCCTCCCCAGAGCTGGGGGACACCTCGGAAAACAGTCCTCTCCCTCCTTTGAAGAGAAGACCGAGGAGGCCGGGGAGGAGATGCTTCCACACAGGCTCGCCCTGTGGCTGGCTGCCTTCGCCCTGCCCATGCCATTCGGCTCCCCCCTACCTGCGCACCCCCTGGGGTAGAGACGCTTTCCTGGGCGACTGCCGAGGCCTGCACCAGAGCCCAGAGCTGGGGATCAGAGCCCAGAGCTGGGGACCGGCCTCTGCTCTGCCCCCTCCAGCTAGCTGCTCCAGGCACGGCGGGCAGGACAAGGCAATTCTCCGGCTCCTTTTAAGAACCACGTTAGCTGGATGCGGCACGAAGCGGCCCGGGACGCTCACCACGTCTCCATAGCCAAACAGCTGGAACAGCTCCTCTCGGGGCTTCTCCACCTCCACGGACACCCGGATCTTCTGCCCCGGAGGCTGCCTGGCGTTGTGCTGCTCTATCCGCTGCAGCATCTTCACCTGCTCCGACGCGTTCCGGCCCTGGAGCAGAGCAGGGCCGCTCAGGACTGCTGGGCACTGCCCAGCCACTCCGGCTCGTTCGTCCCTTCCTGCTGAGACTCTGGGTGAGGGAGTAGGGTGGCTTGGGAACCCCATTCTCAATCTAAAAATCTCAGAGCTATCATGGACTTTAGAGACCTGACCAACCAGTCCTCCTGTTTCATAGATGAAGAGACTAGAGAATAAGAGACTGTCCTAAGGACCTACAGGAAGTTAGCGACAGGGCTAGGATGAGAACTCGGGGCTTCTTGGGGTTTCCTCCCCCCCAGACTCCATCCAAAACCTCTCCTGCAATGAAGATTCTAGTTCCTTGTACGTGGGAGGGAGGTATGGGTCAGGCCTCCTACAGCCAGGCTCCTGCCAGTGGGGGGCGGCCTGTAGCACAGAGCACGGGGCTCTGCCTGGGGCCAGCATCCTGCTTCTGGCGCCTACACCCTACTGTGTGGTCTTGAGTAAGTCACCCAATCTCTGTGGGCTTTAGTTTTCTACCTAAAAACATAGAGTAGAATGGAAAGGGGATGGGGGTCAGATTCATTCGTCTCTAAGGCACTTCATGGTTCAAAGAAACCAAGAAGGAGGCAAAACACGAGGAGGGGTGGCAGGTTGAGCCCTTCGAGACACAGGGAGGGCAGAGCTTGCCTCAATGTGGATCCACTTGAACCGAGTCAGATCAACCTTCTCAAAGTCCACAGCAGAGACATCTGGCAGATTCCTGGGTCACGAGATGGGAAGGACAGAGAAGACGTGGCATGGTGAGAGTCTGGCCAGGGCCAGGAGTCCAACAGGCTGCTGGCGTCCTCATGCCTGGCCCTGACGGAAGCTGGATCTACAGCACAGGCCTCCGAGGCTCAGCTCCGGGACAGACCCCGTCCCCAGCTAAACTCACAACACTCCTCGCCCCACTTGGCTCCGCCCAGACGACTGGAGGCAGTCTGCTAGGGCGCCCCTTCCTGTGTTGGGGGCTGCGATGTGCTGTAAGGGCAAACTCAACCGAAGTATGTGTCAAGGTGCCAGTTCTGTGTGCCTTGGAGACCACATCTCCCAGAATGCCCTAAGAGCACCGAGAACTGCAATTCCCAGGACCCACCCCCCTGGCTAGCCACACACATAGCTCCCAGCATGCAGTGCCCTGGGAAACTACAAAGGCCATGGCTCCTCTGCTGGGAGCTCACTTCTGGCACCACAGCAGCGACAGCACCACGGCCTGGAGTTTGGCGGCTCCGTGTCACAACCGTGTGGTTAAGCTTAGTGCTCGAGGATGGGTTTATATTTGACTAATTTCAGTGTGGACACCCCCCAAGGCTCTGCCTTGACCTCCTTGGCCAGAGGCCTACACACAGCCCATGTCCTCTCTGCATCCAGAGCCGAAGCCTGCATCCACTTGGCTAGCTGTGGCACCTGCACCTCCCCGGGAAATGGGCCCCAGCCCCCAGCCTCACAGGCCTCTGCAGGTGGCTGCAGGTAACATAGAGTGTGGCCATGCCTGGACTGAGGCAGCAGGCAACCTCGGAGCTCTCCGCCTCCCTTCCTGGGAACACCCATGTTGTGTCCTTGATGAGAGTTGCTACAGATTGATGCTTGATGGGCATGATGGGCAGAGGACTAGGATTGCCCCATGTGAATGTTGCCACTAGCATGTATGCCCCCCACTCACTCACTGGGATGCACAGAGCCCAGCGACCCCTGGCCACAAAGCTTGTCCTAGGATGACTGTCTCTCTAGATGCAGTGGTCACGCTGGGCGGGAGGGAGGGCCTGAGCCCCAGGGCAGCTGAGTTTAGGCCATCTCAGCCCTAACATAGTCCCTGGCACATATTATGTGCCCAGTAAACGAACCCTCTGAGATTCTCCACAGTTTTTAGCACATCAATGGCTGCGAATGGTGTGTGCGTGTGGGCTGGCTTCATTACGCTGGGACCTTGGCAGGGCCTCATCTTTTTTGAACACCCAAACCCCAGCTCCTTGGCGCCAGGCTGCAGGCCGGCAGCTCTGAGGCTGACCCTGGAAATCCCACCGGGTCCCCTCAGGGCTTAAGATGGTTTGAATCACATCTCCCATCCCTCCACCCCCAGAAAATTTTGAATCACATCTGCCATCCCTCCACCCCCAGGAAAATTTCCCCACTCCCAAACGCGGGCTGCTGATTGAGTAATGATGGAGGAATCACATCACAAATTACATTTGGTGCGTTTTGCCTGCCCATCCTTGGTATTGACCAAGGCCAGGTTGCCAAGCAGAGCAAAGCCCACCCCTTCCCACCTCACATCTCCCCTCATTGAAAACAATTCAGAAATCACTGAGCAGTTTGGCATAGGGACAATTTCTGGTACAAAGAGAGAGGCCGCAGAGGGTGGGCAATTGGGATGCCCGTGGCGGCAAGGGAGAGAGCTGATTGGTGGGTGTGGCGGGGCGAGGCCAAGGGGCCTTACGTGTCATAGAGCACAATGGTGCGCGAGCCATTGGAGTTGTTGACGATGCAGCAAGAGCAGGGGGTCTCCCCCCGGCTCTGCCAGGCCACCTGAGACACGTCCACACCCCGCTGCCTGAAGTCAGTCACCAGGAAACTTGGGATGGAGCCCGGGCCAAGGGAAGGGCAAGGAGACACAAATTAGAGCCTACAAGTGGCCCGGACCTTCCACGGGGGTGGGGAGGTGCTGGAGCACGCGGGTGCTGAGGGCCCTCCTGCAAGAGAAGGCCCTGTTCTGCGAGTTCAGCGATGGCGGCGGCAGCTGGCAAGGCGCAGACGGTGTACGAACCTGCAGGCATGTAGGATCGTGCGGCTGCCACTGGCCTCGTTAACGATGACGGTGGAGATGGGGACGGAGCCTGTAGCCTGAAAGACCGTGTAGTGTAGGTCCACGGAATAGCGACGGAGGTCATCCAGGACAAAACTGCCGGCGGAGGAACCCGGGGGAGGTGCAGTTGACAAGGTTTGGGGGCCCGGAGGTCACTGGCAGGGCCGCGAGGACCCAGGGTGCAAGCAGAGGGGGCCAGGAGGGAACTAGAGATCGCCGGCTGTCAGGCTGTGCAAGGAGGCGGGAGAGGCAGGAATGCATAGGCTCGAGCTCAGTGAGAAATACACTTAGGGACATTCTCTCAGGATCTGCTTCATTCATAAAGTTCCCGGGAAGACCTGGGGCCTACAGCATTGCCCTGTCTGCAGCAGGCAGGTGAGGACACCGTGGCCTGCTTCACGTGAGGCCCAGGCAGAATTAATCATTACCAAGGTGACACTTTGCCCCCGGCCGCCCTCTGCACAGGTCCCCAGGGCTCTCCTCTCTCTGAAGTCCCTTCCAGTCCTACAGGGAGTCCTCGCATTCTACACCTGCCTCCATTGTGAGCTGCTCACTGCCCTCGCCTCTTGCAGCCAAGCCATCCCTCCCAGGCAGTGAGCTGGCTCCCAGTGCCTGCTGGCCCTCCCTATGGGCCTGGTACAGGACTCTTACCCAGAATCCCCTCCCATCAGAGCGAGTCGGGCAGGGGCAGCCCCCCAGGAAGACTGCACCAGCCGAGACTGCACCCCCCGGGCCCTCTCTGAAAACGCAGTCCTGTGCCCAGGACCTGGCACGTAGGCCAGTCGTCCAGCCGTCATCCTGGCTTTTCTCACTGAGGCTGGGCCCCATTTCTGGCAACACCAGAGCTGGACAACACAGGTGTGTGTAAAGGTGACCAGACAATAATGCTGGGAAAAAGGAAGGCAGCGGGAAGAGAGGGAGAGCAAATCTGAGATGGACGGACTCCATAGAGAAGCCACAGGGGCTGAGCAGGGCTGGTGAGGACAGGACACTGTGGACACCACTCATTAGGAGGGTCGCCAGGAGCTGGAGCCGACTCAGCGGCAGGTAATTCACACAGCAGGTCGGGACATGGGTCCTTGTCTCAGACCCCAAGGACCCTTTAAATAGTAGCTTTTCCACAGCCTAGAAATTATGGTCTGTTTGCCAAATAACTTTTTGTACCCAGTGCCTGGCACATGGCAGGTGCTCACTGTATGTTTGTGGAACACGTGGGGAGAATGGGGAATGGCCCGCCGTCAGCACGATTGCTACACAAAGGTGGGTCCACTACTCTAAGCAAGAGCCGGTCTTGCCTCTAACTGGGGGGGAAGGCAGTTGCTGAAGAGGGTTAATGAGTGACCAGCTGTTGGCTCCGGGTCCCTCTGTCCCACCTCATAGGACAGGCTCTCGCCCCAATTTGCTTCGTGCCAGTTCATCAAGGAAAGGAATCTGGCTGTGGCTCAGGGCGCTGGGTGCTGAGTGCTGGGCGCTGGCAGCAGGTCCTCCTAAACCACGGTTCAAAGGGCTGGGCTTCACAGGCCAGCAGCCTGGAGCCTGCCCCGTGCCCGCAGTGGGCAAAGTGTGGGCCTCGCCCCCTGATAAACGCCTGCTGAGTCGGCAGTGCCAGGGGTCAAAGGGCGCTTGGTCCCTGCGGCAGCCAGCACGGAGTGCGCGTGGGCCACTTACGGACCATGCACAGCCTCACGGCGATGAGCCGGGAGGCCTGGGTCTGGCCCAGCTTTAACATGTGGCTTCAGGATCTCCCGGGCCAGGGTGCTCTTGCTGCTTCAGGGAACAATGGGGACGTGAGCACTGGTCCCGCCCCCTCAACTGGGAAAGAAACTGTAAGCCTGGACCCTTGGACCATGGATGATGGACAACCCTGGGGGAGGATGGGTACAGCAGGTCCCTCACTGCTTTCTGCCTCAAGCACAGCCAGGGTTAGGGTTAGGGATTTAAGAAGGGCAAAGTCGCACCACCGCAGTCTGTTGGAAGCAAGGAAGGAGAAGGTGGGGAAGCTGAAGCAGACTCCAGCGACGGGCCCAGGAACCAGGCTGTGGAAACGAAACCTTTAACAGGAGCAGCGTTAACATCTGAGCGGCAGATGAGCCACCCCAGGGAGGCTCCGGGCGGCCGGCACTCCACTCGGTGCCCTCCCACCCGTTCCTGGTGGCCACAGACCGTTTCTTACAGCCCACCCGTCCAGGGTGAAGACTGCGTTTCCCTTCCCCTCTGTGGGCAGGCCTCCCCTGCTCCCTCCTCCACTCACTCAGCAACATGGCCGGGCGCCAGTGAGCCCATGAAGGCACAGGGGGCTCCTAGCAGGGAGAGGACGGTGCAGGAGTTGGATGCATTGCCTCCACGCTGCCATCTCTGGGACAAGCACCTGTAAAACACAAGGAGGGTCCCTGCCACTTCAGCGGGCTCGTCCTGGGCGACCAGGGCTGACCACAGTGCCCTGGGTCAGGCTTGCAGGATGTAATCGCTAGAACACCCCCAGAGAGCAACCAGGCCAGGCCCTGCCCGGGTAGCTCAGTTGTTTAGAGCATCATCTCGATGCACCAAGGCTGCGGGTTCGATCCCTGGCCAGGGCAATTAATTTCCATCTTCCACCTATTCTTACGACATCAGGAAACCACTCGCTCAGGTCCATTACAATGTGAGGGTTCCACTCCCTCTGGGTTAGCTCCTCCCCAATGGTAATGGCCCATCTCTCCCCCGGGGACAGCTGCTGTACCGTCCGCCTCCCCTTAAGAGCTGGACAACTCCAAGTGCATTTCCCAAAGGTATTCAATTTACTGCCTGCTCCTGTGTGAGTACAGCCGCTTCCATAATAACTCAGGTTAAACTAAGACAGGAAGTAACCCTGGACGTGGTGATCATATCAGAGGAGGAGAGCTAACTGTTAAAAAGATTATCAGGTGAAAACCAGTTATTCCTCCATTATTTTTGTTTTGTTTTCCTTTTTTCAGCTTTATTGAGATGTAGCTGACATTTAACGTTTTGTAAGTTTAAGCAGCACCATGTGACTTGATATGCACACATATTGCGAAATGATTACCACAAATGAGGTTAGTTGACACATTCACCACCTCACGTAGTTACCTTTTGGTCCTTTACTGAAAGTCTAACAAGAGGAAACTAACTCAAAATACACCTGTATAACTTCACTGGCGTCACCAAGAACAAACACGGTAACATGCAGAATAGTCAAAAAGCTTTCATGATTTCTCATTTGTGCTCCAATGACACTGGGAGGTACACAGTGCAGACTGCTATTTCTATTCTCCCAGATCCAAAAGAAGAAGAAGAACTGTGAACCAAGCCCCAAAGAACCACTCGTGAAGGGAACGAATGCAGCAGAATTTCTAGACAAAGGTCTATTTGTGCACAAACGTCACCCTGAACTCCCCTTCCGCCTTGGGAAAAGGAGACATGATCGCATTAGGAAGGAGGAGACTGATTTGTAAAGGGTCACACCTTTCTCAAGCTGTGACCTTTAGAGAAATGTTCGAGCAGAGAAGAGGGGGGCCGAGGGGAATCCGATTTGCTCAAAATCACACCAAGTTACTCCTGACTCCCAAACCACGGCAATGCGCTCCGTATTTTTAAATGAAGAGCAGTTCGGCCCCACCTTGGAGGAGTTTTCAGAGGAAGACGATACAGTTCTACTCTGCGGACACCCTGCAAAGTCACACCGACACCCACCCTCACGTCCAGGAAGGATCTGCTGACCAGGAGGATGCTCGCCCTCTGGAAGGCTCTTCTCGGCCTGGCCTCTGCGAGGCAGGGCCATTCCTCGGGGGCTGGCCGAGTCCCGGGTGGCAGCTCCCGAGAGGCCCCCGCTGCCCATGGAGCACGGAGAGCCTGGGACAGTGGGGAAGGACGGGGTCCCCACTCAGGCTTGCTCATTTGGGAGGCACAGCAGAGTGGAAGAGCTGGGCTGGGTGGGATGGGAGCACAGAAGAGAGGCCCTGAGCTCAACCAGAGTGCTCTGCGGGGCAGCAGAGCCAAGGGTGTGAGGGGGAGGGAGGTACACCCTCAAGAGCAAGGGGCAAGGCCGGAGAGGGTTGGGGGGCAGGAGGGGAGGGTAAGAGATCAACCGAAGGACTTGTATGCATGCATATAAGCATAACCAATGGACATAAGACACTGGGGGGTAGGGGAGGCCAGGGGATTGTCAAGGGAGGGGGGAAAAAAGAGACATATGTAATACTCTTTGTAATACTTTTAACAATAAACAATTA